CGGAGGGCCGGAGCCGGGGCGGACTGCGGGGGCTGGGGCCGGGGCTCTCGCCGGGACGCCGAGCAGCCAGACGCGATTCAGGGCGACAAAGAGGTTTCCCCCCCGCTGCCCCCGACCCGAGTCGCGGTGTCTCCCTGGCACATCCCTGCCGCCGCCAGCCAGCCCGGGCTGCTCCCGCAGCACCGCAAACCGCCTCGGCGATTCAGCACGCCACTGGCGTGTCGAGGCAAGTTGAAGCCCTAAATGGGAGCCTCGAGGGCCAGGCTGTGCCCGCAGCAGGCAAACCTGTGCCCGGGGGCTCCCACAGCCTCGCTGCGCTCCGGGGAAGGCTGGATTTGGAATCTCCCTCCCTAAGCTCTGCCTTGGTCTGAGCTACGGTCCGACCCGTCCCAGGTTCGCCCTCTGTTCAGGGGCTGCCAGCGCTCGTGGCCGCTCGGGCATCCCGAGCTGGGGTGCCCCGGAGGGCAGGCAGCCCCCAACACGCCACTTCTGGGGGAGTGACTCACATTTGGCTTTCTCCCTTTGTCGCCGCAGGTGGGGACGGCACGGGGACACCCCCGGCTCAGGGAGCCCCCCCGCCATGTCGCCGAAGCGCTGCAGAGGGTCCGCAGCTCCCCAGCCCGAGCATGGCAGGTCCCCGAGGGGCCAGGGCCGGGCAGAGGGGCAGCCGGCCCCCCGGGATGGCGGGGAGGCCGAGGTGGGCGGCCGCGGGCGCGGGGGGCGGAAGCGCAAGGAGACGGTCGTGCGGCAGCGGGCGGCCGCTGGGGAGCACCCCAACATCTGTGTGGAGTGCGGCAAGAGCTTCGCGCAGAGTGCAGCGCTGCTGGCCCACCGGCGCAGCCATGGTGGGGAGAAGCCCTTCGCCTGCCTCGACTGCGGCAAGAGCTTCGGCCTCAGTGCCAACCTGCTGCGGCACCGGCGTGCCCACGCTGGCAGGAGCCCGCAGAGCTGCCGGGACTGCGGGAAGGAGGTGGGCGCCACCGCCGCCAGCCCAGCCCCGCGCCCCCCCGGCCAGAAGCCCTACAAGTGCGTCGACTGTGGGAAGAGCTTTGGCCGTCCCAAGCAGCCCCCTGCCAGCCCCTCAGGGAAGCGCCGGCGGCGGGACGGCCCCAGTGGGGAGAAGCCGCCAGCTGTGGCCATCCCCAATACCTGTGCCGAGTGCTGGCAAAGCTTCAGCCAGAACTCGGACCTGGTGAAGCACATGCGCATCCACACCGGGGAGAAGCCCTATGCCTGTCCCCACTGCGGGAAGCGCTTCAACGTCAGCTCCAACCTCATCCGCCACCAGCGCATCCACACTGGCGAGAAGCCCTATGCCTGTGCCGACTGCGGCAAGAGCTTCACCGACAAGTCCACCCTCACCCAACACCGCCGCATCCACACGGGTGAGAAGCCGTACGCCTGCGCCTACTGTGGCAAGAGCTTCAGCCGCAGCTCCCACCACAAGCGGCACCAGCGAACCCACGCAGGGCAAAACCCCGTCTCCCTCCTGCCCCTCTGGCCCTACCCCAGCCAGCCCTGCTAGGGGGGGCTCGGCATGGCCGGCGCTGCCAGGGCAGGATGCCGCGCGTGTTGGAGGGGCCGGTAGGATGAGGCATAGTAGGATGAGCCACGAGGCTGGTAGGTGGGATTATGTGGGGTGGGTCGGGGCAGTAGCGGTTGGGTAAGTAGGATGGGTCAGTAGCGATGGGACGCAGCGGGTGGCAGCAGTGCTCAAGCCGGCAGTGGCTCAGGACCCGCCTTGCCGTGGAGACCCCCAGGATGGGCAAGTCAGGGGGCCGAGCCCCCCCCGTGCTATGCAAGGCCACATTCCTGCTTGCCTTTTGCTGCAGGGATGAACCTGGTTGTCTCGGATCTGGAACGCATCCATGCCTGCCAAGGGCATTGCAGCGCCTTGTTCTTGCTGGTCATCAGACGTGCAGGCCCATGCTGTGTCCTGCTGGGATGGGGGGGGGGGCACGTCACCCGGCTGCCGCGCGTGGGTTTCTCTGTAGAACAGATTAACAAAAAACCATTTGAATAATAATTACTTCTGCTTTGTGGCTCTTGTCATTATTACCCTGCCCAGGCACCCCTGTCCCTCTTCAGCCCAAACTTAAACAGAGCAGCCCCCAAACCTGTCAGCTGGTCCCTGTCCCCCACCACATTGCCATTGTTCCTGCTTCAAAAAAGAAGAGCAAAAGTGATCTCTGCTTGGTGTTATTCCAGAGAGAGGGGTGCTGTGGTTGAAGTTCTGGAGGTTTGGGTCAGCTGTCCTGGCTGTGTCCCCTCCCAGCTTCTTGTGCCCCTCCAGCCTTCTTGCTGGCTGGGCAGGACAAGCTGAAAAATCCTTGACTTAGTGTAAACATTCCTTAGCAATAACTGAAAACATAAGTGTTATATCAACATTCTTCTCATACTGAACCCAAAACATACCAGCTACTAGGAAGAAAATTAACTCTATCCCATCCGAAACCAGGACGGGGTTTTGAGCAGCCTGGTCTAGCAGGTGTCCCTGCCTATGGCAGGGGAGGTTGGAACTAGATGATCTTTAAGGTCCCTTCCAACCCAAACCACTCTATGATTCTGTGAAATAAGGGGCATTTTTGTCTTCTGGCACCAAAACAGCTGGGTGTCCCCTCCACATCCCCCCACTGCTGGACCCCCTCAGGCTGAGCCTGGCCCTGGCCCCTAATCCATCCATTGCTGGGACTCGGCATCTTGTCCTTTATGTATGTGTTATATACACACATCCCTCCAGGACTGCAAAACAGCCAAGAGACAGTTTCCATATAATGAAACCCCTTCTCTCTAGAATCAGCTCCAGGATGGTCAAATGTAGGGTGATGGGCTGCAAGGGCATGCTCCTGCTGCAATTCCACCCCCATCCCCACCCCTGCTGCAAAACCCACCTGTGCTGCAGATCCCCCACTAGTGCTGCAAAATGCTCAGGGCACCTACCTCAAAATACATGCACATATATATGTATATATACATATATATATATATGTATATGCTGGGGTTCATATAAGGGGAACTACAGGGTGAGTGCTGGGAGGCCATGAGCGCTGCCCCACTGTGAGCCGGGGGCTGCACTGCTCCCTGTTTTCGGGCTCTTGAGGGATTTTGGCGAGGCAGGTGACGTTCCCCTTGGCCAGCTTCAGCGGGCCCTCAGCTGCAATGTCTCTGTCACAGCACTTCACCCACTGGGAGAGATGCGGCCAAGCTGTGAGCTGTCCCAGGAGAGGGAGGGGTGCAGGGCAGTGCCCCCTGCCCCCCCCCAGCAACACCCCCACATCCACCTATGACACCCCCATCTCCACGGGTCCAGGGATGCTCCACTGAGATGCACCACAAAAGCACCAAAATCCCCGGGATGGGGCTGAAATAGAGCCTGTGGATGGGGGGGGGTCCCCACAGCCATTACCCTTAGTGCCCTGGACCCGCATCCCCTGCCGAGACACTACCACCCCCCCCTCCCCCAAGACCCCACAGCATCCCAGCAGCTCTATCCTGCCCCAGACCAAAGCCCCAAACAGGGCACTGCCCAGCCCCAGCCCTGGGGAAGAAATGTCCAAAAAATAAAAAAAACCCACCCAAAACCATCAAGGGAGGGTACCCAGCTCCTCCCGACCCCCCGAGACCCATGGGGGAGGGGGACAGGGACCTCATCTGTGAAACCAGCTCTTGGTCCCAAACACGCCAGCTCACCGTCAGCATCCAGCACCATCACGCCTTCCTCTGCTCCGAAAACACCCCAAACCTCAAACTTCAAAAAAAAGAAGAAAAAGACAGTATTTTATTAAGTTTGGTTTGTTGTTTTTTTTTTTTTATAATTGGGAAATGCATGGGGTTTTTTACCCCAGGAAACCCAAAGCAGTGGGGAAAAAAGCAGCCCGAAGTCAGGGAAAGCTCGGATCAGGATTTGCTTCGGTGGCAGCACCAGACAGGACAACTAATCACCATAATTGTTATCATTATCACTAATAGGCATTTGGAGGGCGGGGGGGGCATGTTCACTGCTGCTGCCCACCACAGGCTACATGCAGCTGTGCCAGGAGGAGCAGGAGGGTGGAAGCCCCCAGCCCCAAAGAAAACTGGGTAGAAAATAGGGGATTTTGGTTAAATCTGCTGAAAAGGGCTCCCTTGGGGCCACTCAGGGAGAGTCACCCATCTGAGTGTGTTTGTCCCGACAGAGCCGGGGGGCTGTATGTTTGTCCACCCCATGCTCTGGGCTCATCCCAGAAGCACAGCAGGCACTGCAGCAGCTGCCCAAGCCCTGAGCGAACACACAGACAGACGTGGTGGCTCCAACAGTAACTCTCAAACCCCGTGGACCTGGTAAATTTGCCACCCCAGTTACGTCCGTGTGATCCAGCCGAAGGGGCAGGGGCAGCTTCCAGGACAGTTTTCCTCAGCATGGCCCCGGCCCTGGCAGCAGTGATGGTTATAAGCCCTGGGTCGGGCAGGGCCAGAGGGGCAGGAGGGCGTCAGGGGCCTCTCTGGTGTGGGTCCGCTCGTGGCGCTTGCGGTGGGAGCTGCGGCTGAAGCTCTTGCCACAGTAGGTGCAGACGTAGGGCTTCTCGCCGGTGTGGGTGCGGCGGTGCTGGGTGAGGGTGGACATGTCGCTGAAGCTCTCGCCGCAGTCGGTGCAGATGTAGGGCTTCTCGCCGGTGTGGATGCGCCGGTGGCGGGTGAGGTTGGAGCTGAGGCTGAAGCGCTTCCCGCAGTGGGGACAGGCGTAGGGCTTCTCCCCGGTGTGGATGCGCATGTGCTTCACCAGGTCAGAGCTCTGGGCAAAGCTCTGCCAGCACTGGCCGCAGGTGTTGGGGACCTCGGCGGCCAGCAGCTTCTTCCCGCCCTTGGCCTCCTTGGGCTCGGGGTCGCAGCGGGCACAGGGCCTGCGGCCCTTGGTGGGACGGTTGCGGAGGTGCTGATTGCGGTTGGAGCTGCGACTGAAGCTCTTCCCGCAGTCGAGGCACTTGTAGGGCTTCTCGCCAGTGTGGGAGCGTTGGTGCTGGGTGAGGGTGTACTTGTCAGTGAAGCTCTTGCCGCAGGCGGCACAATGGTAGGGTTTCTCGCCGGTGTGGATGCGCCGGTGGCGGACGAAGCTGGAGCTGACGCGGAAGCTCTTGCCACAGTCGGCACAGTGGTAGGGCTTCTCACCGGTGTGGGTGCGCTCGTGCTGGGTGAGGGTGGACTTGTCGGCAAAGCTCTTGCTGCAGTAGCTGCAGGCGTAGGGAGCCTCGCCGGTGTGGATGCGCTGGTGGCGGAGGAAGTTGAAGCTGATGCGGAAGCTCTTGCCACAATAGCCGCAGATGAAGGGTTTGGTGCTGGTGTGGATGCGCTGGTGGTTCACCAGGTCCGACCTGTGCTGGAAGCTCTTCCCACACTCAGAGCACAAATTCGGCCGCTCGCCCTTGGCGGGTGGCAGGGAGGGGGCTGCCGCCACTTCCTCCTCCTCCTCCTGCTCGGGGAGGCTGCGCTTTGGCTTCTCCGGCTTGCGTTTGTTCTTCGGGGGCTGCTTCTTCTTCTCTGGGCTCTTGCCCGCGGCAACCCTGGGCTTCTGGTCGGACATGCTGGGGTCGCCCCACGGCTGGCGGGGGGGGGGGAGAAAACGGCCCTGACCCCTCGGCGGGGCCCCGGGGACACTCGGG